GTCCTTCCCATGGAGAAGACAACTTAGGAGACTTCCCTTTGGTCTTCCTGGGAATATACAACCACACCTTATCTCATGGTACAAAGCTGACTTCAGTAGATCTGTTATCATAAGTTAGCTTCATCGAATCAGCAGACGTTTTCAAGTTTGAACGCACTTGATAGTGAATATCATCCATCCTTTCCAATAACACTTTCACAAACTCTGACACATTCTCATGCAACTCTTCATAAGGTGGGCGTCCTGTTAACAGATCCACTGGCAACCGAAGTTCCAGACCAAACATCAGCTTTGTTCTACAGGTCATCAACAGTGGAGGGAGTAAGACATCCCAGTCATCTTGGCGGCTATTACAAAACTTTGCCAATTCCTATCCCAGTGTCCAATTATACTTTTCTACCATCCCATCAGACTGTGGGTGGAGTGTCGTTTTCCTGGTTTTTCGTATGCCAAACAACTTGCAGCAGTCTTGGAACACAGCTGGTTCGAAGTTACGGCCTTGCTCCGAATACAGTTCGTATGGCATACCAAATCTGAAGAAGAAATCACTAAAAGCCGAAAATACAGTTGTAGCTTCCTGATTTGGTATTGCATATGCCTCAGCCCACTTGGTGAAATAATCCATCACCACACAAATGTACTTGTTTCCAGCACGAGTTTGGGGAAACGGACCAGCAATGTCAACAGCTACTTTTTCCATTGGTGCTCCAACTTGATATAACTTCATTAGAGCACGTCCCTTATGCTGCATATACTGCAGGTCCTGCACCATTCTTCCACATCTTTCCTCATACCTGTCCAGTAAAATCTCTGTCGTAGGTGATTCAATGTCTTCTTAAGTCCAAGATGTCCTCCTGTTAAACTATCACGGGATTGTCACAGCACAACTTTCCGTAACTTTCTTGGTGTAGCTGTTTACCAGGTCGTCACTTTTCCATCTGCAGTTTCCCATCTCCGGACAAGAATACCATCTTCGAGCTTCAACTGGTCCCATTGTGCCCAATTGTTCTTTGTCACAGGGCTAAAGCTAGACACCTTCTCCCAAGCAGGGCACAAAACACTTGAAAATCAATTATTGGCTTCAAATCTTGATCCTTAACTTGCTCTGCTTTAATATTTATACCTGGATCTACTTCACCATCATCAACTCCCTCAATTACTTTAACTTCAGGTTGATGACACCTGGTTAGTTCAACCTCTCTTTTAACATTTACCGGAATTTGCACTTTATTGTTCCCAAACGTCATTTTATCGAAATTAACTACACACTTTCTCGTTAGTAAGTTAGTCCAACCCTAATATCCATTGGTCTTCAATGTCAGCCAAGTATACTTTGTGTCTGTTATTCATGCCCATGAGCTCAATAGTTACCCACACTGGTCCCCACAACCTTGCATAATGTCCTGTCACACCACAGAGCTTCTGTATGGCTTCTGGTACTCCTTTGTAATCCAGCACCTCGATGCTCACAAGGGTTTGCTGAGATGCAGAATTTATGATAAAGTTGCACTTTGGCCATCCAGCTTTCCTGTCACATAGACAGGAATGCTTGCCATTTTAAACTTAGCTGTTGGGACTTTCTCGATAGGGGTTGATGGGCGTCCCACAACACCAACCACTACTTGTTTCCCCGAGGCTGACTTATTGGTAGTATTCCTCTTACACTGGCTCCTCATATGTCCTTGATCTCCACAGTTCCAATAACCTTTCTGGGTAGCAGCCTTTCCTGCCGTGGCATCTTCCCTGTGTTGAAGTTTCCGGCATTGAGATCTCTTGTGTCCAGGTTTGTTACAGTACCAGCAAAGTCCTTCAAACTTCTCTGAAAGCTGCCCTGTTCTGGCCTTGAATCCTTATGACTGTACCAACCTTGGTACTTCTTTGCTGGACTTAACGTAGGATTCGAATTCAAGAGCTCTGTCCATTGCATCTTGTACAGTAGAGGGGTGTGCTTGCTTCACTAGTATCTTCCATCAGCAACAATTTGAGGACATCGGGTGGCACAGTTGGGTAGGCCTTGTGTGCCATACTTTTCAAATCCTGTGCCAGCTCTTGCAGGCTCTCCCCCTTAATACGGACTCTAGTCCTAAACCTAGCCCTGTAGACTTCGTACCTTTGAATTCCATACCTGAGTTCTAGAGCAGTGCTCTACAGTTGTGCCTGTCGTCTGCTGACAACTATCCAAGTATTTCCAGTGGTTGTCCCTTCAGGCTCTTTGCGAGGTACACTGCTTTCTGCTTCTCTGTCCATCCATTCATTTCTGCCAGGAGCTCAAATTGTGCTCTATGTGCTTCCCACGGTGCCTTCCCATCGAATTCCTGTGGCTTCCTTCGTACTAGATCACCCCTATTGCTGACACTCATGTCTGAAATGTGACTTCTGACAGGACTGAAGATGTCTGCATTAGGATTTAGCTGCAGGGTCTGGAAGGGCTTCCTGTTGTCTGGGGCTGATTAGGTCCATGGTTAATATATCCTACTTGTGTAAAAGACAGTAAATCATCCTTTAATGTATTTAATTCACTTTGAAATTTACTAATCTTTTCTATTTGTGTATTCTGGCTTTCTCTCAATTGTTGGAGACTTTCTTCTTGTTCATTTTCTTTCTCTTCCAACCACTGCTGTAGTCTCTTTTCTTGTTTATTTTCTTTCTCCTCCAACCACTGCTGTAGTCTCTCTTCTTGGTTATTTTCTTTCTCTTCCAACCACTGCTGTAGTCTCTCTTCTTGTTTCTTTTCAAGTTCTTCTTGTTTCTTTTCTTTTTCCTCCAACAACTGCTGTAATTTCTCTTGTTTATTTTGCTGTTCAAGTTGCCACTGTTACAGGTTTTCTTGCCACTGCTGTTGTCTCTCATCTGTTTTTTTTCTCGTTTATTTTCTAGTTCTTCTTGTTTTCTTTGCTGTTCTTGTATTGCTGCCATCAAATCTGCTAAGTCGTAGTTTGATTTGCCCCTTTTTGTTTCCATTTTTTTTCTATTCAGTCTCACTCTCTGACACCAATTTGTTACGTCTTTGGCCGTTTGTTAATTTCCCGTTAGAATTCTTTCTGAAGAACTTCAGCGATACACGTCCTTTCTTAAATAAAACTAGTTTATTTTTTCTCAATA